GAATCGCTTGAACCCGGGAGGTGAAGGTTGCGGTGAGCCGAGAGTGCGCCACTGCACTCCAGCCTGGGCGACAGAGAGAGACTCCATCTCAAATAAATAAATAAATAAATAAATAAATAAAGCAAGAGAGAACAAAGAACAGATAGGACAATTAGAATGAAACAGCAAGATGACAGACTCAAACAAAACCACAACAATAATCACATTAAATGTATATGATCTAAGCACCCAAATTAAGAGAGAGAGACTGATTATGAGACTGGCTATAAAAAGCAACCTCCAAACATATGCCGCCAACAAGAAATGCACTTTAAATATAAAGATACAAATACATTTAACCCTTCAACAGATGGATTTAAACTCCATGGGTCTACTTACACATGGATTTTTCTCAATAAATATATGGAAAATTTTTTGGAGATTTGCAGCAATGTGAAAAAGCTTGCAGATGAACAGCACAGCCTAGAAATATTTTTTAAATTAAGAAAAAGGTATGCCACAGATACATAAAATATATGTAGATATTAGTATATGTTATAATTTACAACCATAAATACATGCAAATCTTTTACAAAAAGTTAAAATTTATTAAAACCTACACAAACGCAGACTGTACAGGGCATGATTTGTAGAGAGAAATGTAAACAAACGTAAAAGTGCAGTATTACATCATAACTGCATAAAAGCAGTTATATATAGTATGTACAACAATTTCATAGCTACTATAGTAAGCTCAAGTGTTGCAAGCATCCACATAAAACACCCTGTGATGCTAATCATCTCATGAGCAGTTCATCTCTCAGTAAACTGCATGTCACAGTAAAAAGCAATCTCTTGTGTTCTCACCTTATTTTTCATCAGGTTTAGTGCAATACTGTAAACCTTAATTAACACCATGGGACCCTATGAAGTACTTACTAGTGAGGCTAGAAGCACTCCCAAGAAGCAGAGAAAAGTCACAACATTAGACGTAAAAGTTTAATTTCTTAGTATGTACTGTAGATTGAGGTCTGCAACTGCAGCTGCCTGCCATTTCAAGACAAATCCAGCATAAAGACAACTTACAAAATTTTTTCTTATGAAAAAAATAAGCAAATCGTGAAGCTGTTGCTACAGCTATGCCAGCAAGTGAGAAAATCTTGCACATTTTGTGAAATACAAAATATGTGTTATTCAACCATTTACATTATCAATAAGCCTTCCAGTCAACAGTAAGCTATCAGTTATGTTTTTGGGGAGGCAAAATTTATACTTGGATTTTTTTTTTTTTTGAGACAGAGTCAAGTTCTTATTGCAAGGCTGGAATGCAGTGGTGCGATCTCAGCTAACTACAACCTCTACCTCCTGGGTTCAAGCAATTCTCTTGCTTTAGCCTCCCAAGTTAGCTGACATTACAGGCACCTGCCACCATGCCTGGACATTTTGTATTTTTAGTAGAGATGGGGTTTTAACATGTTGGCTAGGCTGATCTCTAACTTCTGACCTCAAATGATCCACCTGCCTCAGCCTCCCAAAGTGCTGGGATTACAGGCATGAGCTACTGTGCCTGGCCCATACTTGGATTTTTGACTACATAAAGAGTTGGTGCCCCTAATCTCCATGTTCTTCAAGGGTTAACTGTGGTTTAAAAGTAAAAGGATGAAAAAGAATATGCTAATACTAATCAAAAGAAAGCTCTAATGGTTATAATAATATCAAAATAGATGTGAAAGCAAAGAATATTAATAGAGATTTTAAAAGCTTGATAAAATTGATATACCTCTAACCAGGCTAATCAGAAAAAAAGAAAGGCCACAAATCTTCAATAGCAGGAATGAGACAACATCATTACAGATGCTAGATATTAAAATAAAGGGATACCTATAACTTTATGGCAATAAGTTAAAAAACTTTAATAAAACGAATAAATTCTTGAAACTCAGACTACCAAAGTTTACTCAAGTAAAAACAGATAAGCTACAGCTGTGTATCTATTCAAGAAATTAAGCCAGGTGCAGTGACATGCACCTGTAATCTCAGCTACTCAGTCTGAGGCAGGAAGACTGCTTGAGGCCAGGAATTCAAGGCTGTAGTGCACCATGACTGCACTTGTGAATAGCCACTGCAATCCAATCAGGACAACATAACAAGATGCCATCTCTAAATAAATAAATAATTTTGTTGTTGCTGTTGTTATTTGAGACAAAGTCTCACTCACTCACCCAGGCTGGAGTGGCATGGTGTGATCTCGCTCACTTCAACTTCTGCCTTCTGGGGTCAAGTGATTCTCCTGCCTCAGCCTCCCAAAGAGCTGGGGTTGCAGGCACCCACCACCATACCCAGATAATTTTTGTATTTTTAGTAGAGATGGGGTTTCACCATGTTGACCAGGTTAGTCTCGAACTCCTCATCTCAAGTGATCTGCCCACCTTTGCCTCCCGAGGTGCTGGGATTACAGGTATGAGTCACTGCGCTTGGCCAATAAATAATTTTAAAATGAAAAAAACGGTAATAATAATTTTCTGGGCATGGTGGTACCTAATTGTAATCCCAGCTACTTGGGAGGCTGAGACGAGAAGACTGCTTGAGCCCAGGAGTTCAAGACTAGCCACAGTGAGACCCCCATTTCAAGATAAAATTAAAATTAAAAATAAATTGAAATTATAGATAAAAACTCTAGCCCCACAGGAAAAAAAAAATTTGAAAGTGCACACTGAGATGAATTTACCAGTAAATTCTCCACATTTAAAACATAAATAATTATAACTGCATGGATAACTGTATAATTTTACTTTTCGAAAGATAAAGGGAGGGAATATCCCCAACTTACTGAATGAGGTCAACCTTACCCTGATACCAAAAACAGACAACGACATTACAAGAAAAGGAAACTACAGAATAATACGTCTTTTGAGTGGTGAAGGAAAAATTCTAAATGAAGTTATAACAAATTGAATCCAACAACATATTAAAAGGATAATACATCTATAATATCATATACCTACATTATATTAATGTAGGACAACTTTGTTTTTTTCTTTGGGGACAGTCTCGCTCTATTCCCAGGATAGAGTACAGTGGCTCGATCTCAGCTCACTGCAATCTCAACCTCCTGGGTTCAAGTAATTCTCCTGTTTCAGCCTCCCAAGTAGCTGGGATCACAGGCACCCGCCACCACGCCCAGCTATTATTTTGTATTTTTAGTAAAGACATGGTTTCATCATTTTGGCCAGGCTGGTCTTGAACTCCTGATCTCAAGTGACCTGCCCTCCTTGGCCTCCTAAAGTGCTAGCATTACAGGTGTGTGTCACTGCACCTGGCCAATAAATAATTTTTAAATGAAAAAATGGTAAAAATAATTTTCTGGGCATGGTGGCACAGGATTGTAATCCCAGCTACTTGGGAGGCCAAGGCAAGAGGACTGCTTGAGCCCAGGAGTTCAAAACTAGCTGGGCAACACAGTGAAACACCCATCTCAAGATAAAATTAAACAAAATAAAATTAAAAATAAATTGAAATTAGGCCGGGCGCGGTGGCTCACGCCTGTAATCCCAGCACTGTGGGAGGCCGAGGCGGGTGGATCACAAGGTCAAGAGATCGAGACCATCCTGGTCAACATGGTGAAACCCCTTCTCTACTAAAAATACAAAAAATTAGCTGGGCATGGTAGTGCGTGCCTGTAATCCCAGCGACTCGGGAGGCTGGGGCAGGAGAATTGCCTGAACCCGGGAGGCGGAGGTTGCAGTGAGCCGAGATCGCGCCATTGCACTCCAGCCTGGGTAACAAGAGCGAAACTCCGTCTCAAAAAATAAATAAATAAATAAATAAATAAATAAATTGAAATTGAAATTGTAGATAAAAATTCTACCTCCCCAAGAAAAAAAACAACACTTTGAAAGTGCACAACGAGATGAATTCACTAGTGAATTATCCACATTTAAGAAAGAAATAATTGTAACTGCATGGATAACTGTATTATTTTACTTTTAGAAAAGATAAAGGGACGGAATATCCCCTGCCCCGCCCAACTCACTGAACAAGGTCAACCTTACCCTGATACCAAAACCAAAGACATTACAAGAAAAGGAAACTACAGAATAATATCTCTTTTGAGTGGTGAGGCAAAAATTCTAAACGAAGTTAGAGCAAATTGAATCCAACAACATATTAAAAGGATAATACATCTATAATATCATATACTATACTATATTAACATATTAATATAAGACTGTTTTTTTGGAGACAGAGTCTCACTCTGTTGCCCAAGCTGAAGTGTAGTGGCGTGATCTTGGCCCACTGCAACCTCCATCTCCTGGGTTCAAGTGATTCTCCTGTTTTAGCCTCCTGAGTAGCTAGGATTACAGGCACCCACCAGCATGCCAAGATAGTTTTTTGTATTTTTAGTAGAGATGATATTTCACCATGTTGGCCAGGCTGGTCTCGAACTCCTGACCTAGAGTGATCCACCCACCTCAGCCTCCCAAAGTGCTGAGATTATAGGCATGAGCCACTGTGCCCAGCCAATGTAAGACATCTGTATTAGAATATATCTATATTCCTAGAAATGCTGGGTTTAACATTCAAAAATTAATCAATGTACTTCAGCATCACAAACTAAAATAAACAAAAAAACCACAGATCATCTCAAGAGATGCAGAAAAAAAATTAACAAAACCCAATACCCATTCCTGATAAAACTCAACAAACAAGAAAGAGAAGAGAACTTTCTCCACCAAATTCAGAGCATCTATTAAAACGTATAGCTAACATCATACTTAATGGTAAGGGGAACAAACTGCTGATACACATAACAACACGGGTGAACCTCAATAATTATGCTGAGTGGAAAAAAACTAGACAAAAAACAGTATATGCTGAATGACTTCATTTATATAAAACTCTAGAAAATGCAAGCTAACACATAGGAACAGGAAGTGGACTGTGGTTGCTCGGGGATGAAGGGAAACAAGGAGGGAGAGGAAGTATAAGCAAGGGTCACAGGGGAACTTTTGGGGTCTTACCTTAAAGAAAGAATGAATAGCAGCTGTCGCTTCACTGCGAATCCTCAGTATAGATCCCAGAATGTTAGTCCTACACCTCAAGTGAGGATATTGTCTCAGGTATTCCAGAGGATGCCTTTCTTTGTATCTGATGGGGAAAGTCTGCCAATAAATGAAAAGAACAAATTAGAAGCCAAATGAGATACTGTTTAATAAAATCCATTTCCAGGGTATTTCTTAAATAGTGCTTTAGAACCAAACTAAGATGCTTTCCTTCTTTACTTCTTAATATACCTGATTTTTAATCCACATTATTTCCACCAGATAAGTGGAATGGCAGGATGGAATCAGAAAGATGTAGGTTTGAATCTAGCTCTACTACTTATTAGCCAAGTAACTGAGCTAGTAACACTGAAGCTCATCTGTTATTTATCGAGTTTGTAGCCAATCACTTCCTACAAATAGGTTAGGTTTAATTATGCAAAATATCCACTGGCACACAGGAGTTCAAAATATTGCAGATATTAAAGATGTACACACAAGGCTGGTGTTCAATTTTAAAATCACCTATATGTCTTGAAAGCCCACGATCATTCATAATCGATTGGTGTAATTTATTACTATTATCAACACTACTGGTGTCTAAAAACACGAGGGAGGGTAAGCAGCTTTCTTCCAGCTAGCAGAGTAGTGAAGATTTACACCAAATTTGAAAGAAAATTATGGCTCCACCTTGAAATATGTCTACCCTGCTCATATTCATGTGACAAGATTAAGACAGACATATCCTTTCAGATAAAAATCAAAGTTTTAATTAAAAAGATAACAGAGGCCGGGCGCGGTGGCTCAAGCCTGTAATCCCAGCACTTTGGGAGGCCGAGGCGGGTGGATCATGAGGTCAAGAGATCGAGACCATCCTGGTCAACATGGTGAAACCCCATCTCTACTAAAAATACAAAAAATTAGCTGGGCATGGTGGTGCGTGCCTGTAATCCCAGCTACTCAGGAGGCTGAGGCAGGAGAATTGCCTGAACCCAGGAGGCGGAGGTTGCGGTGAGCCGAGATCGCGCCATTGCACTCCAGCCTGGGTAACATGAGTGAAAAAAAAAAAAAAAAAGATAACAGAAAAGCTAAAAAAAAGAGCTACATTGGCAGCCTGTTTCTTTCAGTTTCATCTATTTTTTGTAAGTCTTGTACACATACAAACTTTTACATTGTACAATAACAAGCACCATACTTAATAAAAATGAAAATGTGGCTGGCGTGTCGGTGACCTGGCCTGTGAGGAGCAGTGAGCAGAATGAATACCTTCCAAGACCAGAGTGGCAGCTCCAGTAATAGAGAACCCCTTTTGAGGTGTAGTGATGCACAGAGGGACTTGGAGCTTGCTATTGGTGGAGTTCTCCAGGCTGAGCAGCAAATTAAAGATAACTTGCGAGAGGTCAAAGCTCAGATTCACAGTTGCATAAACTGTCACCTGGAACGCCTTAGAAGCCGTGAGGTGTGGCTTTATGAACAGGTGGACCTCATCTATCAGCTTAAAGAGGAGACACTTCAGCAGCAAGCTCAGCAGCTGTACCGGTTATTGGGCCAGTTCAACTGTCTTACTCATCAACTGGAGTATACCCAAAACAAAGATCTAGCCAATCAAGTCTGTGTGTGCCTAGAGAGACTGGGCAGTTTGACCCTTAAGCCTGAAAATTCAACTGCCTGCTCTTTGAAGCTGACACAACTGCTCTGCACCAGACCATTACCACCTTTGGGTCTCTCAAAACCATTCAAATTTCTGAGCACTTGAGGGCTCATGCTAGTTCATCAAATATAGGGCCCTTCCTGGAAAAGAGAGGCTATATCCCAATGCCAGAGCAGACGCAAGCATCCAGTATTGCAACTGTCCCTCTCAGTGAATGGCACCTTGGAAGCAAGCCTGCCAGTGGTCATCAGGCTCCTTACATACCCAGCGCCAACCCCCAGGACTGGCTCACCCAAAAGCAGACCCTGGAGAATAGTCAGACTTCTTCCAGAGCCTGCAATTTCTTCAATAATGTCTGGGGAAGCCTAAAGGACTTAGAAAACTGGCTCCTCAAGAGTCAGCAACAGGAAGTTCCTGAAAAACCAAGTTATCAAAAGTGTAACAGCCATTCCACTACTAGTTCTTTCTCCACTGAAATGGAAAAGGTTGAAGATCTAGAGCTTCCTGGTCAAGATAAGATGGACTTATCAGATTGGCTGGTGACTCCCCAGGAATCCCATAAGCTGGGGAAGCCTGAGAATGGCAGTCATGAAATCAGTGAGAAGTTTAAGCTCTTGTTCCAGTCCTACAATGTGAATGACTGGCTTGTCAAGACTGACTCCCGTACCAACTGTCAGGGAAACCAGCCCAAAGGTGTGGAGATTGAAAACCAGGGCAATCTGAAGTGCCTGAATGATCACTTGGAGGCCAAGAAACCATTGTCCACCCCCAGGGTGGTTACAGAGGATTGGCTTGTCCAGAACCGTCACGACCCATGTAAGGTAGAGGAGGTGTGCAGAGCCAATGAGCCCTGCACAAGCTTTGCAGAGTGCATGTGTGATGAGAATTGTGAGAAGCAGCCTCTGTATAAATGGTTTCTGAAGAAAGAAGAAAAGGATAAAAATGGGATACCCATGGAAACCAAACCTGAGCCTGAGAAGCATAAAGATCCCCTGAATACGTGGCTCTGTCCTTCTAGAAAAGAAGTAATAGAACAACCTAAAGCACCAAAGGCAATGGTTCCTTCTAGAATTGCTGATTCCTTCCAAGTCATAAAGAACAGCCCCTTGTCAGAGTGGCTTATCAGACCCCTATACAAAGAAGGAAGTCCCAAGGAAGTGCCTAGTACTGAAGACAGAGCTGGCAAACAAAAGCTTAAAAGCCCCATGTGCACTTTCTGGTGTCCCTTTAACACAGCAGACTGGGTCCTGCCAGGAAAGAAGACAGGCAACCTCAGCCAGTTATCCTCTGGAGAAGACAAGTGGCAGCTTCAAATGAAGGTCCAGAGGAAGTATTACTTAATACACCTCTACAGGAGGAACATAAGTTCCCCCCAGACCATTACAGCCTCCCTGCAGTTTGTGATCTCTTTGCCTGTATGCAGCTTAAAGTTGATAAAGACAAGTGGTTATATTGAACTCCTCTACAGATGTGAAGACAAGAGCAGAGCTGCCTTTCTGCCAACTATCACACATCATGAGCTGAGTGACTACGGCTTGCCAATCATTGTTTCTGGGTCTGACCAGTTAGCTTAGTTCTTCTCTCACCTAATTTTGAACTAGTAAAGCAAAGCGAGTCATCAGATTTATGAGTTACTGTTTAAAAGAAAAATGCTGTTTATTGATGCTGAGGTGATGCAGTTCCTTCCTTCTTACAGAAGTGTTAATTTACTCCCACATTAGAAATGCAGCATCTTTGTGGATACATCTTTTTCACAAGCCTCCAAGCCTCCTTAGATTGGGTCGTTACTAAAAGTACACGAAAATACTCACTCTAGTTTTAAAAATGAAATATTTCTGTAATCGATGTGTATTGATATATTCTAAAGCTAGTAAACTTTCCTAACGTTTAAGTGCCCTATAGATGCTTCTCTTGCTGTGGGTTCTCTTGTTAGTGGTCTGAAATAATGATTTCCCTGTTCTATTAATATACAGTGTATTTTGCACAAAAAATTAACCTGGCTAATAGTGATTACCAAAATATATATTAATAATCTTGGCAATTTTTGATATTACCAAACATTTTAGCCTACATGTTCTACATTACTATTCATTTGAAACTCAGCTACTGCAAATCTTTTTCTTTCTGTAAATGTTACTAAAGTATCCTGTGAGCTCTTTTAGAAGGGTTTGGTATTATTTCAAGACTATTTTTGAGGCAGTTCTAGCCTTTTAAAATATTTTACAGACCTACGGGGTTTAAAAGAACCCCAGTACCAACTAAGCAAATAGGCAAAGACATGTTGGAAATGTAGTATAGTGCTTGAACTATTCACTATATTGGTGCATCCTGTGTAAATGGAAGCTGAACTTGACACCTGGTGTTTTTAACTAGGGATTCAGTCGTCCTTCTCCTGTAAGCACAGCACACCTGTACCTCCAAAAGTGACGTTTTAGTGAATAGGCTGTTTTCAACACTTGTGCCTCAGGGTGTTCATTGAAGCTTTATGAAAACTACTGATGTTTTCTCAATCTCCTTAAAGTTATGTCCATGCTTTAAAATGTCTCTGTAGGAGAGATGTGGGGTTTATAATGTTTTTAAATTCTCTAAAGGTATCTTTGCTGCTTTCCAGACTTTAAACTATTAAGCTGCTTAACTGCCTATTATTGAAAATACTTCCGGGGAAACTTCATGGTCCCACAATGTCATCGCCATACAGCTTCATTAGAGTTCTTTGAACCACAGCTGGAAAGAGCTTTGTATTATTTTTTAATTCCCTCCCCAGATATCACTTAGAACTATTATAATAAAGTGGTGGGCAAAAACAACATAAGGAGCCTTTCAGTTATCTTAAGTTGCAGCTAACTCTGTAGTTTCTTTTTTGAGGCCAAATACACTGTATTTTACATTGTCAAAATATAAGTTACATTAATCACTATGTTAATGATATGTAAAACATTCTTTTGCATTGATGAATTTTGTATCTGCCTCCATTAAAAGCATAACAGCCATTAAAAAAAAGTAAAAGTGAAAATGTAACCATATCATAATTCTAGCGGTCAGAATTCCCTATGTCGGAACATTTTAAAATGATACTGAACCTAAGAAGAGGGGAAGATGAAGCCATCAATGCCAAGAGAAGCTAAGGAAGAACAATTTAAGAATACAATAGTCCCCGGCTTATCCACAGGGGATATATTTCAAGACCGCCAGTGGATGCTTCCTTTATTTCCTTACATTTTTTCCTATTATACTGAAAGAATTAACAATGAATTAAAGTGATGATTTCCCTATATTTCCTCACTTTTGTTCATTAAATGTTTGAAGACAGGTATAGCAAAAACACAGAGGAATCAAATAGCTAGAAGATAAATTTCAGTTGTGTCACATCAGCTCAGGCAAGTCATTTCATCCGGCTGGGCCTCATTTTCTCCACTATAAAAAATTTTATTAATAATCTCTTTTATTCCCTCTAACTTCTTTATCAAACTTATAAATGCGAAGCTAACAGAAGAGTCTTGCAAAAACAGACATAAACATGTCTTACTATAGAATTTCTTGCCTCTGTTCAGCCTAAGCATTACAATACTATAGATCAGCATCACCCAACAGAACTTTCTGTGATAAATGGAAAGTTTCTGTATCTGTGCTATCCACTGTAGTAGCCAGGAGCCACATGCAACTACTGAGCACTTGAAACGTGGATAATGCCACTTAGGAACTGGACTTTTTACTGAATTTTAATTGATTTAATGCCAAACGCCAAAGGTGGCTAGTGCCTACCATTACTGGATAATCGGTTCTAGATCATGCAAAGGTCATTCCTGGCTTTCCTAAGAATGAGCCTGCCTTGGTATATCACTGTGGCTGACAGGGCATGCTTATAAAAGCAGCAAGTTTTAATTGTAACACACAACACAGGGATGCAAAAATTAACACTTAGCCCTCATTAAGCTATCTACATAAAAAATTTTTGCTACTGCCTCTACAGGTCTTATGGCTTGTTTCAATTATCTAGTAAGTCACAAATGAAATATATTCTAAGTTTCACTTTCCTAATAATCACACTTAAAACAGATTCCTCTCTTAAATTAAGCCTAAACAGTATCCACAGAAGTGTCAGAAATCATACCTTAGCATCACAATTTCCAATAACGTCAATGTTTTCTGCCTTCAGTTCCACATTTTGCCTTTTGGATGGACTTTTTACCAGCTGCCCTTGGACTTCCACAGAACTCCCAAAAGTTAATTTTCTACAGTAACAAAAAAAGATAAACAAAATATCATTATATAAAACCTTCATTTTAATATAAACTTTTTTTTTTTTTTTTTTTTTTTTTTTTGTGAGACGGAGTTTCACTCTTGTTACCCAGGTTGGAGTGCAATGGCGCAATTTCGGCTCACCGCAACCTCCGCCTCCTGGGTTCAGGCAATTCTCCTGCCTCGGCCTCCTGAGTAGCTGGGATTACAGGCATGCGCCACCATGCCCAGCTAATGTTTTGTGTTTTTAGTAGAGACGGGGTTTCACCATGTTGACCAGGATGGTCTCGATCTCTTGACCTCGTGATCCACCCGCCTCAGCCTCCCAAAGTGCTGTAATAAGAATATTAAAATACTTAAGGACAAATGGTTTTACCCTTAATTGGGTTAAATAATCTTCAGAATCTATGGATATTCTGTTGCACAAATAAAGTATAAAATTATAAAAATGAATTACATAAGCTTTAAAATGCAAACAAACAGCTAAGAACTTGTATAATTAATTAATTCAGAATTAAGAGGCCGTACAATTGTCCTTATTAAAAAATTAGTTGGCCAAAAAACTTTTGTTTTTGTTTTTGTTTTGAGACAGAGTCTCACTTTGTCGCCAGGCGCCAAGCTGGAGTGCAGTGGCACAATCTCGGCTCACTGCAACTTCTGCCTCCCGGGTTCAAGCAATTCTCCTGCCTCAGCCTCCCAAGTAGCTGGGACTACAGGCGCACACCACCACACCCACCTAATTTTTGTACTTTTAGTAGAGACGGGGTTTCACTGTGTTGGCCAGGATGGTCTCGATCTTTTGACCTCGTGATCCGCCCACCTCAGTCTCCCAAAGTGCTGGGATTACAGGCTTGAGCCACTGTGCCCGGCCCAAAAAACTTTTTAAAAGATTACAGGATACATGCAAAAACTGCAAAATCAAAATAAAATCAGCTGGGAATTCTCAGGTGACTGGTGATCTCAATACATACAGTGCTACTTTCTGGTTAATAAGACTAAGTTCAAGTTTAAGTTCACCCACAAATTAACTGTATGACAACGATGGAAAGTCATCTAAGTTCATTTGTTTTAAGGATCATCTATTAAAAAGGTGCTAGTAAATGACAGTACATCTGTTCTATTTCTTTTTCTTTTCTTTAAAGAGAGCAGGTCTCACTATGTTGCCCAGGCTGGTCTCGAACACCTGGACTCAAGCAATCCTCTTGCCTTGGCCTCCCCAAGTGCTGAGATTATAGGCATGAGCCACCACGCCCAGACCATCTGTTCTAGTTCTAACATTTCATAATTATAACAAGTAAGACAGTAAGTGCCTTCCTAATAAACTATTGAAATATTATAATATAGAAATACAATAAATTTTATTAAAGTAAATAAGTCAGGAGATTCTCCACCCAGTTTTGCTTGTTAAATATATGTTATTCTTATATAATTTATATAAATAAAACTGTCCACTATTGCATTATGGGTGGGGAAATCTGGTATACTTTCACCAACCTGAGAGGGTAATTTGAGATGCTGACTTAAAATATGTGCTACCTGACATATATGAATGTAAATATTATCCTAAGGGTTCCTGGGAATATCTCAAAGAGACAGTCATCCTCCAGAAACTCTAAAATCTAGCTACCATTATACCCATGTGACTGCTATACTGATACAAATAATCAAAATAACTACAAAGTTTTTTAAAAGGTTATCATTAATATTAGGGCCAGGTGTGGTGGCTCATGCCTGCACTTTGGGAGGCAAAGGAGGGCAGATCACTTGAGGTCAGGAGTTCGAAACCAGCCTGGCCAACATGATGAAACCATGCCTCTACTAAAAATACAAAAAATTAGCCCAGTCACATACCTGTAATCCCAACTACTTGGGAGACTGAGGCATAAGAATCGCTTGAATTCAAGAGGCAGAGGCTACAGTGAGCCAAGATCATGCGGCTACACTCCAGACTGGGTGACAGAGCGAGACTCTCTCTCAAAAACAAAAAAGTTACTATTACATCAGAACAATTTTTTCTTGTTCTGCCCAGCTGACCACAGTCTGTGATCCATGAACCTATTCAATGGGTAAATAGCATTAACTCTAACAATCCTCAGAAGAGCAAAGCGCTCTTATTCTAACAAACTAAAATAATGTTATCTTCCTCAGAGCTGATACCTATCATTAAAATGGTGTTAGTTTTTGGTTTCAGGGTTTTTTTGTAGACAGGACTCTGTCACACAGGTTGGAGTGCAGTGGCGTGATCTTGGCTCACCACAACCTTGACCTCCAGGGCTCAAGAGATGCTCTAGCCTCAGGGCCCCAAGTAGCTGAAACTATTGGTGAACACCACCATGCCCAACTCATTTTTGTACTTTTGGTAGAGATAGGGTTTTACCATGTTGCCCAGGCTGGTCTCGAACTCCTTGACTCAAGTGATCTGTCTGTCTTGGCCTACCAAAGTGCTGGGATTACAGGCGTGAGCCACCGCACCTGGCCTGGTGCCAGTTTTAAAAGCTGAAGAGCTGGACCATAAAGTTTCTTCCATTTGCTCAACAAGCAATAATTTGTCACACTGTCAGTACCAAGCTAGAGACCAAGAATGCAAAAAAGAATGAGATGCCATTCCTAACCTCATGAAACTAAGAGTCTAACAGAGGAGTCAAATAAGAACACAGCTGGTCCTGCCGGGCGCGGTGGCTGAAGCCTGTAATCCTAGTACTTTGGGAGGCCGAGGCGGGTGGACCACGAGGTCAAGAGATCGAGACCATCCTGGTCAACATGGTGAAACCCCGTCTCTACTAAAAATACAAAACATTAACTGGGCTTGGTGGCGCGTGCCTGTAATCCCAGCTGCTCAGGAGGCTGAGGCAGGAGAATTGCCTGAACCCAGGAGGCGGAGGTTGCAGTGAGCCGAGATCGCGCCATTGCACTCCAGCCTGGGTAACAAGAGTGAAACTCCATCTCAAAAAAAAAGAATACAGCTGGTTACCATCCAATGTGATATATTTTAAGACAGATACAAGCACAAGATGCTCTGGGAGCACAGAAAAGGGGTACCTGACAGTCACGGGATGTAAACATCAGGTGATACCTAAGCACGAACTATGAAAGACAAGAGGAGAAGAAGCTATACTGGTGCCCAAAAGGCACCTCCCCTTTGGTGATTCTCAATCAACAGTAATTTCCAGACCAGGCGCAGAAATCCCAGCACTTTGGGAGGCCAAGAAGAATGGATCACTTGAGGTCGGGAGTTCGAGACCAGCTTGGCCAACATGGTGAAACTCCATCTCTATGAAAAATACAGCAACGTGTACAAATGCTATTAGACAGGAAAGAGCAGAATAGTTTAGGGGAGCTGCAAGTAATTAAGAAAGACTCAAATGATAAAACAAGAAAAAAAAAAACAAAAAGACTCAAATGAAGCATAGGTGGGGGATATCAGCATGGGAAGATGTCAAATAGAGGAGGAAAGGCCAGAGCTTGAAGGATCTTGACTCCAAATATTTGGACTTGATCCTCAAAGCTATGAAAGCAGATTTGTTTCAAAAGATTACTCAGGGGTCAATGTAAACACTGGAATAGGGAAGTGGGAAGCACTGGAGGTGAAAAAAAAAAATCAAAGAACTCTTCTAAAAAACAAAACTTGGCCAGGCGTGGTGGCTCACACCTGTAATCCTAGCACTTTGGGAGGCCGAGGTGGGTGGATCACCTGAGGTCAGGAGTTCAAGACCAGCCTCGCCATCATGGTGAAACCCCACCTTTAAAAAAAAAAAAAAAAAAAAAAAAAAAACAACTCACCTACTGTCAAGGCTTGAATCTGCAACAACCTGAAGGCTTTCCAAAGATGACCCATCATTTACATGCAGGAACAAGACTTCCTTCTGAGATCGGACAGAACGAACCCATCCCTAAGGAAGAGAAATATTTCTAAGGCAAGCATAAAACATTTTACATTTTCATTACACATCACATAGAAGACACATAGAAGACTAAATGAAAGAAAAACATGTTCTCACAATCCTGCCTCAACAAATCAACTTCTTTTAGTTTACCAATATGCATACTTAATTTTGTATGTTCCAATCACAGTGAGATATACATTTTGGTATTCTATCTTTTGTTTTCATAATAAAGCATAACATTTTTAAATGGATGCCTAATATTCCTTCATGCTGAGGAGCCTAAGTCACATAACCAATCCTCCTAATATTGGCAATTCCAGGTCCTCCTAGCCCCCGGCCCAACAATAAATAACAGGGCACATATCCTGGTGCCTTTCTCAGGATATGGGACGCACCCTTATTTCTGGTTTCACTTCGCATGCTGCCCAGAAGGAACTTCCTCTTTGATGATTCTCAATCAACAATAATTTCCAGGCTGGGTGCAGAAATCCCAGCACTTTGGGAGGACGAGGAAAATGGATCACTTGAGGTCAGGAGTTCAGAGCCAGCCTGGCCAACATGGTGAAACCCCATCTCTACTAAAAATACAAAAAGTAGCTGGGTGTGTTAGCACTCGCTTGTAGTCCCAGTAACTTAGGAGGCTGAGGCAGGAGAATCGCTTGAACCTGGGAGGCAGAGCGATCCGAGATCACCTCACTACACTCCAGCCTGGGTGACAGAGCGAGACTCCTGTCTCAAAAACAAAACGAAACAAAACAAAAAACAAAAAAAAAAACTAATTTCCAAACTACCACTTTCTTACTTTTACTTTTTAGTAAAAGTTAACATGTATTGAGCACTTTGTAATGTGTTCCTATTCGAAGCTCGTTATAAATATTATGCTACTTAATCCTCAGAACTTAACAAAGTGGTTATCACTTATCATTTTAGAGCTGAAGAAAATTATTTAGAGATGTCAGGATAATCTCTCTAAATAGTCCAGGACACAGTGACCAATCAGTTGAGTTGGGATTCAAAAGCAGTTCTGACTTCAAAGTTCATGTTCTTATCAACGAGCTTTTCTGAGATGCTATTATAATTCTGCCCCATCCCCAGTTCCTCTACCTAGGGAACATACCCTTCAGGACTTTGCTGAAATGTCACCTAATGCAAGGAGGTATCTTCCTCAACCTTCTCAGGTAAGTAACTTCCTGTTTTCTTATAATTCTTTACTTATCTTACTACCAATTATCATATTGCTATAATTATTTGTTTTAACCATTGGAAAAGGGCTGTCCTACCGAAATATAATGTGAGTCATGTGGGTAATTAAAAAAATTTTTAGTGGCCACATTAAACATAAAAACAGATGAAATTAATATTTTTACTTAACCTATTATACCCCAAATATTATCAACATATAATCAATATAAAACCATATTGAGATATTTTGCATTCTTTTTTGTTCTTCAAAATTGGTTACGTTTACACTTACAGCACATCTCAGCCAAACTTCAAGTGCTCAGAGCCACAAGTGACTGGTAGCTACCATATTAGACCTCACAGGACTAAAATGAAATCCTCCAACCTGGGCAGCAAGTTCTCCTTCCATCTTTGAATTTTCTCTTGACTAGCACACAAAGTATCATTAATGTATGCCCAATTAATAAACCAAGAGACCTATGGAAAGAATATGGAACTCAAAGAAATGCAGAGACGCAGACTGGTCACACTGCTAAAAAGCAAGGATATGTGAGGACAACAAAAATAACTTCAATAGCAAGCCATGACTGTTCCACTACACTCATGGGTGACAGAGCAAGAATCTACTCAAAAAATAATAAATAAATAAATTAAATAACCGTATCTGCCGGGCTCACGCCTGTAATCCAAGCACTTTAGGAGGCAGGACTGCTTGAGTCCAGGAGTCCGAGACCAGCCTGCGCAATATAACGAGACTCCATCTCCACACAAAACTTAAAAATTACAGCGTGGTGGTGCATGCCTGCAGTTCCAGCTACTCTGGAGGCCAAGTTAGGATTGCTTGAGTCTGAGAGATGGAGGTTGTAGTGAACTGAGATCACGCCACTGCACTCTAGCCTGGGTGACAGAGCCAGACCCTCTCTCAAAAAATAAATAACCACATCAGTGTACTTCAGCAACCTAATAAGAAACAGTCAAACCACTTTATTCTGCTTTTCTATGTGGAGCTGCTGCAAATAATTAGCTAGAGAAATAATAGCTGCTAACATTTGTAGACTATGGGCCACTGTTCTAAATATCTTATTTTCATTACCTCATTTAATTTTCAGGACTCAGGGACAATTACCTCTATTTTCCTAAGATGAAAATAAGGTGTAGAGTGCATAAACGCTATGCAGATTTAAACCTAAGCAGCTTAACTCCAGAGCTCTTTCAAACTGCTACATTCCACTCTTTCTTCTAATTAATTAAAAATAAATTACATGCAGAGTCCCACTTTAGGCACTGAGGTGGCTAAAAGTTTAAAAGGCACAGTTTGGTTGAACAAGTATTTGCTGTCAGCCATGTGTGAATACAAAGGCAGGTAAGACACGGTTTCTGCTCTCAAGGATCTAAGTCAGACAAGCACTTCATAACCCTGGATACTCATTATAAGGAATAAAGGTAGAGAACGGGGGCTCGTCCGTTTACATTTTTTGGTATGATTAACAAGTTACAGGTAACCCAGGAATCATGAAAGCAAAGTTCCAGCGCTTTACAGTCACCGGAACAGTTTTGTGAAAATGGAAAGCAGAGTGGAAATCCGCGACGCCTACCTAACTTTTCCCTGCTGGTGGTTCTGTCCGACCCGACCGCAAAAGAAACGCTACATGTGGATGTGCTATGTAAGTCCCTACAAGAAAAAACCCATACCCTTCCCATTCACCAACCTGGACCTTAACACGTTCCTCACTCGCGTTCTGGGCCCTGAGAGCGTCCCGCACGCTCAGTTTGGCTGAAGGTTTGTGCCTGGGGCAGGGGGCAGAGGAACAAAAGCGCACCGCCCGGAGCAAGCAGCGGGCCCCCAACATCGTGCGGCCGCCCTGGCCCTCCGCGAGAGCAGCCCAGACGTCGCGGTTCGAACGCGCCTGCGAGGACCCTCCCTTCTCAGCGGCTCCCCTTCCGCGGCTACAGCTCGGCTATAAGATGCTCCAGAACCCTCCAGCTGCACGCTTTCTCCTTCGGGACTCCCAGCTGTCCCCACAGAACCTTCCGTTTCCCTCTCTTCCCAACGGGGCGGAACAGACAGGATACTTGGCAAACGCCAGAAAGAAACCAAGTGCAGTAGGTAACTGGAGCGCCCCACTGCCCGCTACAATTCTAAACCTACGTACCGACCACAGGCCGCAACATGCGCGGCCCCTCGTACGTCACCACGCCAACACTGCTTACATCATCACGCTACGGCGAATGCGGGAGAGCATGCGTAGTTGTGACCCAGGCTTAGGAAAGTGTGCGGGAGGGGGCGGGGTCAGGAGCGGAGACGGGGCGGAGCTAATGCCCTAAGGTTATAGGGATTATCGCTGAAAGAGCCAGGGAGCACGTTGGGGTGGGGTCTGAGGGTCTTCATTTCTAAAGTTTCCAGGTGAGGCTGAGAAACTGAAAGGCATGTAGTGACTGATGGAGACGGTTTCCCTCTCCATCAGTCAACAACTAATAGGGATCCAACTAAGTGGAGGCTCTTAGCTGTTGACAGGATTTTTGCTTAAAGAGGTCAGTTGTTCCAGAGTTCTCCGCAGAGAAAAATCAGACATAGCCCCTCTGCGCCAAGTCACAGTTGTGTGGTATCAGACAGCCAAACAGACAATTGCATAAAAGGGTGATCAGTTGCCTGACAACGCCTAAGCATAGGACTCCAGAGATGGCTTCCTGGAGAAGGTAGTCCTCTGACAGGTACATAAGAGGAACTGGAGGGACCTTGATACGGCAGGCAGAGAAGGCAAGACGGTGGAAAGATGTCACAGAGACTGGAGGAATGCCAAGTGTTACCGGCCAGAATCTTCCAAGTCTCCCTCTTCCCTCCAACACAGCTATCTGCATTTGTTTGACCTGGAAACAATGATCCTTTTACATATTAGGCTACCTTTTAATTTACCAAAAAAAAAAATTTTTTTCTGTAACTCAATGACAGTCAGGAAAAAGTTTTTATCTAATTTAAAAAATAAAACGTGGCCGAAGCGGTGGCTCACACCTATAATTCCAGCACTTTGGGAAGCCGAGGTGAGTGGTTCACGAGGTCATGAGTTTGAGACCAGCCAGGCCAATATGGTGAAACCCGTCTCTACTAAACATAGAAAAATTAGCTGGGCGTGGTGGCGCGCACCTGTGATCCCAGCTACTTGGGAGGCTAAGGCAGGAGAATCGCTTGAACCTGGGAGGCGGAGGTTGCAGTGAGCCAAGATTGCACTACTGCACTCAAGCCTCGGTGACAGAGAGAGACTCTGTCTCAGATAGATAGATAGATAAATAGATAGATAGACAGACAGTAGTTTGGCCAAGTACAGTGGCTCACGCGTTTAATCCCAACTGTTAGGGAGGCAGACGCAAGAGGGTTGCTTCAACCCAAGAGTTTGAGACCAGAGCTTGCACTTGCTCACTTTCTCTCTCTTTCTTTCTCACTTTTACCTTAAAGTTGCCACTATTATTATGCCCATTTTACAAATAAGAGAACTTAGACAAGAAAGGCTAGATGACCCACTTAAGGATAAATGTGAGATTTAAACCCAGAAGGGCTGGCTCTATGCACTAAAGCATTATGCTATATTATACAGTATCCCAAGGTGGAAATGAAATCATGGTCCCTTCCATCAAGCAGCTCATGCTTTAGAGATGGAGACAAGCAAGAAAAGAGACTACTGAAATATAAATCAGTAACTGCACACATAGATGTATGAGTTGTTCTGCATTTGTTTGGCCTGGAAAAAATCACCCTTATATATTCGGCTACCTCTTACATTTCTCCAAAAAAATTATTTTGGAAGGCCGGGCGCGGTGGCTCACGCCTATAATCCCAGCACTTTGGGAGGCCGAGGCGGGTGGATCACGAGGTCAAGAGATCGAGACCATCCTGGTCAACATGGTGAAACCCCTTCTCTACTAAAACTACAAAAAATGAGCTGGGCATGGTGGCGCGTGCCTGTAATCCCAGCTGCTCAGGAGGCTGAGGCAGGAGAATTGCCTGAACCCAGGAGGCGGAGGTTGCGGTGAGCCAAGATCGTGCCATTGCACTCCAGCCTGGGTAACAAGAGCAAAACTCTGTCTCAAAAAAAAAAAAAATATATATATATATATATATATATATATATTTTGGATATTTTATCCAAATATTAAATTGGATAAAATATAAGATTATTATACATTACAATATATTTTATGTAATAAAAATGTGCTCCCTGATTCTATATAATAAAAAATATAATAAAATTATAATTATAAATGATAAAATTATATTGCATAAAATATAATATTAGTCTAGAGGAGACAGTTAAGCTGAATTTTTGAGGAGAATCAATATTTTGCCAGGTAGGCATGTAAGAAAATTTCCTGCCAGAAGGTGGACAGGAAAGGTTGCCAAGAGGAAAAATGCCCTGGAAAAATTGTAAAACCATTCTCAAGACAGGCTAGAGGGCGAAAGTGAGGACTCCAACAGCAGTGGACAAACATTTCCCTTTCCTCTCAGATTTCTCGCACCATGGCGGCCCCTGCCCAGCAGCCTACTCAGCCTGGCGGCGGGAAGCGCAAAGACAAGGCTCAGTATGTGTTGGCCAAGCGGGCTCGGCGCTGCAACACTGGCGGGCCCCTTCTGCTAGAGCCCGGGCTACAGGGCATCCTCATCACCTGCAACATGAACGAGCGCAAGTCCGTGGAGGAGGCCTACAGCCTGCTCAGCGAATACGGCCACGGCATGTATGGGCCAGAAAAGCTTACAGACAAGGATCAGCAGCCCTCTGGAAGTGAGGGAGAAGATGGTGATGTGGAGGCTGCCTTGAAGAAAGAAGTTGGTGATATTAAGGCATCTATAGAGATGAGGCTAAGAAAATTCCAGTCAGTGGAAAGTGGAGCAAATAACGTCGTCTTCATCAGGACACTTGGGATAGAACCTGAGAAATTGGTGCATCATATTCTCCAGGAAATGTACAAAACCAGGAAGAAGACGACTCGAGTTATTCTACGAATGTTACCCATCTCAGGCACATGCAAAGCTTTTTTAGAAGATATGAAAAAATATGCAGAAACATTTTTGGAACCCTGGTTTAAAGCTCCGAACAAAGGGACATTTCAGATTGTGTACAAATCTCGAAATAACAGTCACATGAATAGAGAAGAAGTTATCAGAGAATTGGCAGGAATAGAGGGCAACCTCAATTCAGAAAATAAAGTGAATCTCACCAATCCACAGTATACGGTGGTAGTTGAAATCGTCAAAGCTGTCTGTTGCCTGAGTGTTGTGAAAGATTACATGTTGTTGAGAAAATACAATCTCCAGGAGGTGGTGAAGAGCCCTAAGGATCCAACACAGCTTAACTCAAAGCAGGGAAATGGGAAAGAAACTAAATTGGAATCTGCTAACAAATCAGATCAAAACAACATAGCAGAAGGAAAAAATAACCAGCAGGTACCAGAGAATACGGAGGAGCTGGGGCAGACAAAACCAACGTCTAATCCGCAGGAGGGAGGAGGCAAACCTGAACTTGCAAGTGAAGCCACAGAAGGATCCAAGTCAAATGAAAATGCCCTCTCATAGGAGGTCATTTGGTGTTGAGGTGGGTTTTCCAACTGGGGTTCTGTGAGATGTTGCTGGGGTTACACCTGAAATTCTGACTAAAAACAGTTTTTTATTTGTGTGCTGCATTATGCTGTTCTCACAGTAGTGAACAATGATCACGCAGCCCTGTTAACAGTTTTGTTAGGGATCTTTCAGCCCTCCTGGTATTGTGTATAGGCAGACCCATGTGCTACTATTGCAAAGAGGGGAGGATGGGAGAAGGGGGATGTTGGCCTCTCCCAGGCTTCTCTTATGCAGCTGACTTATGGGAGTAAACTGTGAAGTAGAAAATCAGAAGGAAGTTTTCATTCTAAGGAAGGAATTTTTACATGCCACAACTTAGCTGTCCCCCTGCCACTTTGTTGTAAACACTGCAAAAATGTGGATTATGTAGGTTAGAAGTGAATTGTTTAGTGAAGTTTTTGGACTTTCGTGATTTTCTTGTTTGGTTATGTCTGTTTTTTGTTTGTTTTTTTAATTTTAATTTTAATTTTTTTTTTTAACAAAGACGGGGGTTTCACCATGTTGGTCAGGCTGGTCTTGAACTCCCGACCTCAGTTGATCCGCCCGCCTTGGCCTCCAAAGTGCTTGGATTACAGGCATGAGCCACCACGCCAGGCCTAGGTTATATCTGTTTTTATATTTTATTAACATTGGTGTGTAACAAAGCTGACAGTTCAGTGCTGCAATTCTGGAAGGCAAGATGTGAAAAAGGAGAACCATTTTAGGCATAGAGCTACAGACATTACTGAAAAAGTTGTTGATGAATTTCAGTCTTCTGAGTATACTTCAGTATACTAGCACAGCAAGGGACACAAAGAAATTCTGTCTTCATAACGAAAGCTACTTCTCAAGGGTTTTATATGGACTCAGTCCAAGCTGTCCTGTCCCGTTGTGCATTGTCTGTGGCATGCAACTTCTTAGAAAACTAGCAGTTGTAACTATAAATCATAGCCACCCGAGAAGAAAGGATATTCATTATTTTCAAATGGCTTTTGGATTAACAGTAAGGCTTTTGTTCAGAAACTACATTTAGTCAGAAGGTTTAGGAAGCAAATTATTTAGTAGCAGAACTTATCTCAGGAAAGGAAAATATGCATAGTTGGTGAGAATCTAATAATAACATTAAAATGCTGGGGCAAGATGCAGTACAAAATTGAAAAGACTTTATTCTCAGTAAGTTGATTTATTGATATTTCATGTGATACTAAAAAGATTTTGTATAATTAACTGAAAAGGTGCAGCTTCTCTATCCAGGATGATGAGTCAACAGGTTTCACTAATATTTGTCATGCTGTAGCATTTGTAACATTTGTAAATGATGAAATTTCATGATCATGGTATCTCCCCTGCCAGGTAAGTGTAAATGATGAAATTCAAAGAAAACTTCTTCTATTGCTAGGAGCCTGCCAAAACAAAGGCCAGTATATAATGTTGTGACATCATATCTGATAACCAGAGGTCTGTTATCTACATTCCTGGTGCCCCATCAGTGGTTGTTTCCATAAGTCATTTTGCGTTATTAAAAAAAAAAATCCTGATGACATTATAGCATACTGCTTTCTTCCCAGAGATGCTGATACCAAAAACTTGAAGATACAGTGATGTTCTGAATAATGCTACAAAACTGGTTACCTGTATCAAAGACCCATTTATGCAGAAATGTTAAAAAAAACACCCAAAACAAAAACCTGGACAAACAGCATATAAGCTTTCTGCATCATACATCCAGTGGCTTATCAGAGGAAGAATTCTCTACAGGATATTTGAGTTGAAAGGTGAATGCCAGAGTACTTACAAGGAAACAGCTTTTGCTGAGTGCTTTGGAAATAAAAAATGACTGCAGGAAGTAGTCTATTTAGTAGACATTTTTCATCACATGAACAAATGAATAAGTCTCTGAAAGGTTCTGGGGAAAAATTTTTTTCTTAAAGTGACAAGAGTCTTAGATCTAAAAGGAAACTGACTTGCCACTTTGCCAGAGGAGTTCTTGAAATGTTTCTGTAGTCACTTGGACTTGAAAATGAAGAGTACAACTCTCAAATCTTGCTATAACCCACCTGGAGTAACCATAAAACCCAGTTAAATAGCATTTTTTTTCTCCTTTTCCCAGCACTAGTATATAACTGCATATGAAGAACTTTTTCTCTAAATCTGCTCAGCTTGAAATTTTGTCTCTGATGGAAGAGAATGAACACAGCCCTAGTCAGACAGTCCTAGGTTTCTGTGAAATAAGAGTATTCTTCAATTTAGTGCTCACACCCACATACAATGAGGGTTCCCCGCAGGGTTTTCCTGAATTTGAAAGTGTTTTCAAGGCCTATTTTTGGGTAAAGCAATTGAAAAAGGCAGACACCAACAAAGTCTGCAGAATAAACTCTCCAGATTAAGAATATTAAGGAGCTGTAAAGTTAGCTTGTGGAAATAGGCTTAAGTTTTAAAAAGTTAGGAAGTAGTAAAAATGTTAGGCTTCCTGCACAAGTGGCTATGTTTATTTAATGGCTAGTGAACATGGGAATATATTTTGATCCTCCTAACTAGTGGTTCTGTTTTGTAAACCAGACTAGAATGATTTGAGAGGGGCAAAGATAATAGGCAGGACTTTCCTTCCATAGCTTTACATATTTTGAATGTTAATGATGTTGAAGTTACCTTGAAAGGATTGATGAGGATTCTTTTCTTTTTTTTTTTTTTTAAAACCCCTGTTCCCCACCTTCGATAAGGGGATTCTTAATATCATTTAGGAGAATAGGGAGGATAGGATTTTGGTGCCTTCTTCAGCAGACTTGCTCCAAGACAAAGATTCTTTTATTTTGATAGTGCAAGACAAAAGGACTTGGGAAAAAATTGGCCACATGCCTACATACAACTCTGTGGAACTAAGTTGTTTTTACTTTGTGAAAGCTGCTACTCTATGGAAAGATTTTCATTTTATAGTTTATTTTTAACTGCCTTTTATATTTATTTACATTTGGTAAGGCTCAGTAGTTACACAGGCTGTTCTTTCCCGGCTACAAAATCCTGTGTTCGGTTGTAACCTGAACTCATTAAAAGATTTGTTTTCAGGTTTATCAACTGTTTATTTTCACTGACATTTGAACATGTTATTTTATAAATGATGAGGTTCCAGGGTAGGAAGTGAGTGCTTTTTTATTCCCCTTTAGTTTTTTTCTTTTAAAAAATTATGTCAGTTAAAAACAAAAAAACTGCAGTCTGTGGTTTATAAAACTTGTTTAGCTCCATAGAGGAAATAGTGTTAAACTTTGTATTTTAAAACATGTTTATCTAAGGTTAAACATGGTTTTCCAATGTTATTTTTTACTTGTATTTTGCTTTTGGTACGGCCAAATATCGAGCTTGTTTTTCATAGTTCCTGATATTTTCAGAAAAATGAAAATAAATTTGTTCCCTACCAAAAAAAAAAAAAAAAAAAAAAAAAGACAGACTAGAAAATATCTCATCCGAAAATACTTGGTGTTGGAGGTGGAACCTAGTGAGAGGTGTTTGGATCACGGGGGCCTCATGGAGGCCTTGGTGCCATTCTTGCAGGAGTGAATTCTCACTCCATTAGTTTTTGCAAGAGCTGATTGTTTAAAAGAGCCTGGCACCCACCTTCCTCTTTCTTCCTTCCTCTCTTGTCATATGATGCTTGCTCCCCTTTGCCTTTCTGAATGGCTGAATGACAACAAACCTTGACATGATTTACTTTGAGTGGAAGCAGATTCCTGTGTCACATTTCTTGCACAGCCTGCAGAGCTGTGCAAATAAATGAATACATACATCTCCTACTAATTAAAAAAAAAATACTTGGGCACTTCTTGAACCTTCAGAAAGGAAATATGGAAACTTGCAGCCAGTGCCTTCACAATTATGTAGCTATGGACTTTTAAGGGAAATTAAGTATGTTGGTTCAAAATCTGGGGAACAAGACAGTCTTGGGTACATAGCAATGATGTTTATCCCAGTGCAAATCTTTTCTATGCCTATGCCTCCCCTGTCCAGACAATCAAAAGTAGTAACCAGTTGGCTCATTTCTTACTCATACCACTTTTCTGTCTTGCCTTCTGCTATGGCTTGGATATGGTTTGTCAAAAACTCATGTTGAAATTTGATCCCCGATGTGGTGTTGTTGAGAGGTGAGACCTAATGAGCGGTGTCTGGTGTATGGGAGCAGATCCCTCATGAGTGGCTTGGTGCTGTTCCCATGGACTGCATGAGTTCTCACAAGAATGGGCTTGTTCCCACCACAGGGAGTTGTTATAAAGCCAGGATGTCCCCCAGGTGTTCCCCTTTTTGCACATGTCCACTTCCCCTTTAACCTTCTTCACCATGTGGTGATGCAGCACAAAAGTCCTCACCAGAAGCCAGGGCCATGCCCTGAACTTCTCATCCTATAGAACCATGAGCTAAATAAGTCTCTTTTCTTTATAAATTGCCCAGTTTGAGGTATTCATTTACAGCAACATAAAATGGACTAAACCACCTTCTTTCTCCCCCAACTCCCCAACTCCAGAGGACAATGTGGAGCTTAAGAACTGGAGTCTGAGCCCCAGGGAGTGAGGATCCCGTTTTCCTTTACTCTCTCACTACTTGTTTAAGCCAAAAGGTTAATTATGTTCTTAGCAGGGGACCACTGCCCCAGTACGTTGAAGACAAGGGTAAACTGGTTGAAACTGAAGATTAGTAATGGTTAACTAAAATATACATATATCATTGAAAGTTGACTATACCACTTGTGCTTCTGGTGCTCAGTTCAGACCATCCCCTGTATCTTGCGCTATATCAAATCACATGATCTTCTTTTTATTTTTGTTTTCAATGTTGGCTTGACACCTTTTCTTTTAGATTCATCAGCTTCCAGACAGTAGCCCAAATGATGTTTTTCATATGAATATATATTTGACCCTTGAACAGCATGGGTTTGAATTGTGCAGGTCTACTTCTATGTGAATTTTTTTCAATAAATATATTGGAATTTTTTTTGGAGATTTGTGACAATTTAGAAAAACTTGCTAATGAACTGTGTAGCCCAGAAGTATCAAAACATTTAATTAAAAGGTCATGAATTCACAAGATACATGTAGTTACTGGTCTATTTTATCATTTACTACCATAAAATATACATAAGTCTATGATTAAAAAAAAAGTTAAAATTGGTTGGGCGCGGTGGCTCACACCTGTAATCCCAGCACTTTAGGAGGCCGAGGTGGGTGGGTCACCTTAAGTCAGGAGTTCGAGACCAGCCTGGCCAACATGGTGAAACCTCATCTCTGCTAAAAATATGAAAACCAGCCAGGTGTGGTGGTGGGCACCTGAAATCCCAGCTACTCAGGAGGCTGAGACAGGAGAATTTCTTGAACTGGGAAGGCAGAGGTTGCAGTGAACTGAGATCACATCACTGCACTCCAGCCTGAGTGACAGAGTAAGACTGTATCTCAAACAAAACAAAACAAAACAAAACAAACCCCAGACCATGCATGGCTCTATTCATAGTTGAGAGAAATTGCTATAAGACATGCAACCTTAAGCCTTAAAAAATAGGGCCAATTTTTTCCAAAGTGTCACCAGTGTCACCAGCCATATTTGAGAGTTTCAGTTGCTTTACATTCTTGTCAACACTTGATCTTTATTTTTTTTTATTTTATTTCTTTTTTTTAACTATAGTCCTGTGGGCTTATGATCTTTATTTTTTTTAAATATAGAACACTTCATAAATATGTGTGTCGTCCTTGAACAGGGACCATGCTAATCTCTGTATCCTTTCAATTTTAGTATATATGCTGTTTAAATGAGAATAATACTTGATCTTAATGAAACTTTCTAAAGTAGCTGTAATGGTGGGGGACTGGGTGTATCCATTGCTGTTTTGATTTGCATTCCCCTGATTATTATTTTTGTTTGGCACATTTTCAGTGTTTATTTTCATTGGACTTTCTTCTTGGTAAATTGACTGTGTCTTTTGCCCATTTTTCTATTGCAAAATTAGTAGTCTTATTTTTCCTAAAGACTACTCTTGAGTAGTCTTTTTTCTTATTAATCTGTGTAAGTTCTTATTGTCCATATTTTAGTTACAAGATCCTCTCAGTTATATGCATTACAATACCTTCGACCACTCTGTGGGCTGTCTTTTCTATAACGTATTGTGAGAAAATGGCTGAATGACAGCAAACCTTGAAATTATTTGATCCTTTTCTTAAGAAAGAGTGAACGGTTCTTGAAAAAAACTATTAAGACATTCAAACATTACTCTTTATATTTTTCTGGCAATATAAGACCAGTGCTTTTGTTATGTCTCCTGTTATTCTTTAAAAAATGGTTTCTTTTCCTAATTTGTTTTATATTTCCTTACATTTTTTGTTCTAGTTGCATGGGTAGTGGCCTTCTTCACAGTTTCTATTTGGTTATCTTCAAGGGACAATTTTACAGTTAGAATTTCACTGTACATTGTTGGAGACTGATTCTGGCTGTTTGCAAATATCTTTGTGTATGATTAACCTCTAGTTTACACCAGAAAACAAGATAACTCAGAAAAGAAAAATCATATCTTTTCTTTTGATTGCACAAAACTTCAGAGGTTGAGATTTGCTTTTTAACATTTCACTTTATTGCAGCTGTGTTCCATCCTGTATTCCCAACACTTTGGGAGGCTGAGGCAAGTGGACTGCTTGAGGTCAGGAGTTCAAGACCAGACTGGGAAACATGACAAAAACACATCTCTACCAAAAATACAAAAAATTATCCAAGTGTGGTGGTGCATACCTGTGGTCCCAGCTACTCAGGAGGCTGAGATGAGAGGGTAACCTGAGTCGGGGGGAGGCGGAGGTTACAGTGAGCTGAGATGACACCACTATACTCCCACCTGGCTGTGGTTGACAGAGTGAGATCTGTCTCAAAAAATAAAATAAAATGTATCTTTGTTGCATACACAGTGTATTAGTCCATTTTCACATTGCTGATAAAGACATACCCAGGACTAGGTAATTTATAAAGAAAAGGAGGGTTTTTTTGTTTTGTTTTGTTTTTTTCTGAGACAGGGTCTCGTTCTGTCATCAGGCTGGAATGCAGTGGCACAATCTCAGCTCACTACAACCTCCGCCTCCCAGGTTTAAGCAATTCTCCTGCCTCAGCCTCCCAAGTGGCTGAGATTACAGGCATATGCCACCACGCCTGGCTAACGTTAGTATATTTTTTTTAGTAGAGATGGTGTTGTACCACGTTGGCCAGGCTGGTCTCGAACTCCTGACCTCAAGTGATCTGCCCGCCTCGGCTTCTCTAAGTGCTAGGATTACAGGCATGAGCCTCATACCCAGAAAAGAAAAGGAGGTTTAATGAACTCACAGTTCCACGTGGCTGGGGAGGCCTCACAAAAATGGCAGAAGGCAAAAGGCATGTCTTACATTGCAGCAGACGAGAGAGAGAACTTGTGCAGGGGACCTCCCATTTATAAAACCATCAGATCTTATGAGACTTATTCACTGCCATGAGAACAGCATGGGAAAGAATCCATCTCCATGATTCAATTACCTTCCACTGGGTCCCTCCCATGACACATGGGAATTGTGGGGAGCTACAATTCAAGATGAAATTTGGATGGAGACACAGCCAAACCATATCATGTGACTTTAAAATGAGCATTCCATCTTGTCCTTTTACTATAAGCCTACATTATGCAGCAGTTTCTATTAATGAGACAGAAGAGAATGAACAATTGTTTCCAGTTTCCAAAAATGATACATGTGAAGAAAACATGCTTCTGAAATAGTAAACTCTACAAATGATCAGATTTTCTTTAGGTGGTAGTACTTTTAACTAATATAGTTTAAGTTTACAACTTTGAAGAAAAACTTGATTGGCCTTTGATCAGTATTATTATTGTATTAAAATCTTCTATAAATTAAACATTTAAAAAAATGTCTACAGTCCTACATCCCTTTATTGCTGGCACCTTGGGCAGATTACTCTCACTGCCTCACTCTTGATATGTCTCTGCTGGCAAGTATGGTATTTTCGGTAAACTTCTGGCAAATACTTTGTCACCTAAGAAAGTTCCCTGCTGTTCCTAAGGGATTACTATTTACCCAGTATATAGTTAGCTCTAACTACATAATATCATGAAGAGTGAAAGTTATATTTGGAAAAGAATATAGCGTGCCTAACAATCTATAAATTCTAAACTTCAGAAAATTTTATTCTTATGGCAAAGAATCTGGAAAAGATGTTTTCATGAAATCCACGCAGCTGTCAGTATTCAGCATTCATCTAAAACTAAAAGGCAATCCTGTAAGCACTTAAAGACACAGAAAGGTTTTTATGCCCAGGTTTTTATGCCCCGGTTTTTCAAGCAGGAAGATAATTAATGATGACCCTGTATGTTTGTTTGAACTTCTTTCAGAAGAGGCTTGTGAAAGGTATATTAGAACAAGGATGGCAAGCTGATTCTACTTTTACCTGGATGTTTCCTTTACTAGGTATATTCCTTTAGCAGAACATTCTTGAATTCCACCAATAACTGAGAACAACAGAAAAGAAGATTCACAACATGCTTTCCCTGAAAATAGATTTATTCTACTCTTTTCAAGTTTTACTTTCAGAATCATGTACGTTGACAGACATAAAAAGGTAAAATCTTAGCCGGGCGCGGTGGCTAACGCCTGTAATCCTAGCACTCTGGGAGGCTGAGGTGGGTGGATCACCTGAGGTCAGGAGTTCAAAACCAGCCTGGCCAACATGGTGAAACCCCATCTTTAAAAAAAAAAAAAGGTAAAATCTTTATTTTCAATGTATTAAACAATTTAACATTTCTCACTAGAGTATGATATACAGTATATCAGGAAAGAGTATGACATATATATACTAATAATAAATTATACTAAAAAGTCATTGATTCAGTTCCTGTTTTGTAATATTTTAATGTTTACCAACTTGGAAGAAGTCCAACAAAATTATAAAGTTTGGTTTATTTTTCTTTTTTTTTTGTATTAATACATTTATTTGATGAATTAGTCAATGTTCCAATGGAAGAGGTTTTGACAATGTCACTATGTTGGATGTTTATACCTGCGCTGAATGCTTGCTCAGAAGAGAAACACATTTCCCAGTATTTTTTATAACTTACTTTCTCATTGCCTCCAATTAATTTGCTATTATCTCAAGTAGACAGAGAGCTTCAGTACCAGCCACCTCCCTTCATTTTTAGACTATTGAGAAAAAATAGATGAGCAATCCATGAAAATAATCAGCTTACTGAAATGCCTGTTTTTTTAAAGAAAAGTTGGGATTATTTTAAAAAAATGGCCCAGGACTGGTAGCTAGGAGATCTGGGAGACAGAAGTCGTTGTCCTGGTTCTGACGCTAAGTAACCCTTTTGCCTTGCACAGGTAACTTCTCATCTACATCCTCAGCATCCTCCTCTTTAAACCGAAGGGTTTAAATGACTCTTAAGTTCCTCTTTCTCTCTCTCTAGGTGTTCTCTAATACCAAGTTTATGTGGGTTTTTTCGGCCTTTGCCCAGATTTTAACCAGAGACCATCCTCCATGAAAGTCAGACAAAAGTAATTAATTCTGAGACGGCAGGAGTTGTTTTTGGCCTGTGTAATCAACTTTTCATAAAACCAAGAGTTCTCAAGTTAAGCTACCTTCACGACCCTCGTACTAAGTTTGTCACTCCCTGTCCCTCCTACCTTCCTATGTTGCTCCACCACCTCTCTCCACCAGAAAAAAAAAAAAAGACGAGAAAAATCTCTTGTGTTTTCTTCCTTCTTGGTTCTTGGAAAATGCTGTGCAATCACTTCCTCTTCTTCCATGGCTGCATCATGTCACCCCATTTCCAGTGGTTGAGCTTCTCTCCGAGTAGGTAGATGCTGGCGATGAAGATGTAGCTGAGAGAGAAGGAAGCTGCTAGCCCCACAGGGCTGAGTTTGGCAAGCAGAGGATACACCCAGGTACCCGTCTCAAAGTAGATCCACAGGATCCTGCTGATGCAAGCAATGCTGCCAGCAGCCAGCAAGGTGAGTCCTGTCTTCTTTGATGGATAGGAGTGTGGCCTAAGGATGACTTCAGTCAATGTGATGGGCAATATGAAAGTGTGCATTGCATGATTCAGCCATGCTGGGAAAAGAGTATCTAGGGCCTTGGGGTAAACAAGATCTCGATTGTAGAGAAAAAGGATCCAGAATGCCAAAAATACAAATGTGGATATAGGAAAAGCCAGTGTGGCGAAAAGCAGGTCTCTGAAGGCAGTTAGGAACGTCATGTCTTTTCTCCCTCTGATTCTTCTCAGCTCATCATCCAGGAAGGCGACCCCATAGAAAATGGTCTGCAAAAGTATATTAAGCAGCGTCATGTATTTCCACTTGCTACCATTTGCAAAGAGTTTGGATTTCACTTTGTCTGTTTCATCCTGTGCGATGTAATAATTGAGGAAAATATACCAGCTCAGAACAAGGAAGTAGTATATGCATGTAAAAGTCTTCGTCATGGCTAGCGCTGACCGGGGCACTGTGGATGTCTTGAGTGGCTTCTGACGTCCTTCCGTGGGTCACAGCTGAAGTCCTACAGCAGTCCGGAGAGCTGTAAACCACACCCCTCTGGGACTGAGAGTTCCCCGGTTTATTTTTCTTATTGACTGGTTATGGTAGCCAGCCTTCAAGATGGCTCCAGTGATTCTTACTTCTTGGTATTCACACCCCTGTATAGTATTTTGTGATATTAATCATATAGGAGTAGTTTATATAACCAAAAGAATACAGTGGATATACTGGTGTGTGACTTCTGAGGACAAGTCATAAAAGACATCACTCCTTCTGCCTTCCTTTCCTGGATCACTTGCTCTGGGGGTACCAAGTCCCATATTGTAGAGATACTTAACTAACCTTGTGAAGATGTCCACGTGGCAAGAAACTGAGGCATTCTGCCAATTGTCAGGGCCTATTATCTCCCAGAATAAGACACACTTTCATTAATAACATTGGCTCATAGTAGTAGAAGGGGTGGGGAGTAGGGAGATGAATCTGAATTACTGAGATTTATTCTAGAAAATAAAACAGAATTTCTTAATATTCAGATACACTTCCTTGGGGAATATAAGCATTTATTCCTCATTCTCTGGGAATCAGTAATGTGGAATATCAACAAATAGCTGAAAAACAGATTTTCTCCCTAAAATCCAATTTCATTATAGATATTTCTGACAGTGTGAATACACCTACTGTTGGTAGTGTAAGGCTTGCCTTTAAAATTGGACTTCTTTGAGGAAAAAAAGAAAGGGAGGCTTATATCTTTTTCAAAAGAAGAAAAAAAATAGGTCTGTTACATAGTTTTATTGGAAGAGAAGCCATTGAGATAAATGCTACAGTATGTACAAACATACTGCGTTTGCACATTGCTTCTTTCTATCCCTTGGTTTGAGGGATAGAAAAGCTTTTTATTTACTTTGTAAGGACCCTGTGAGTATTTAAATTATTATGGCCTAAAGTTAAACATCTCTTATTGTCCATTGTCCAGTTAGCATTGGAGCTCCCATCTGTGGCTGAGACCTGTGTTTGCTGGAATCCTCTTCCGCTTGTGATTCCAGATTAGAGTTTTCCAATAAGAGGAACTCATTAGTTTTCAAAGCAAAAGACATTCTTAGAAGGTAGTGGTGGTTAGTCATGGTGGCTTCCTCAGGCTTAGAAACTTTACATACATCTCCATTTTGTTTTTCCAGTTTGCAAACATATGACATGGTGAAAAAGTCTAATATTCACATAATTTGACTTTCATAAGGAGAGTAAAGAGAGACATATGAAAACAATACTTGAAGCAATCATAGCCAAGAATTTTCAAAACTGGTAAAAGAAATCAAACCACAGACTCAAGAAGAATAAAAAAAAAACAAAACAAAAACAAAGCACTCTATTCCCAGGCACACAGTAACACTCCTAAAAGCAAAAAGAAAAGAGAAAATCTTAAAAATAGTTTCATTAAATTCACAGGCACAATAAATAAGACAGACAGCTGACTTTTTAAAAGCAATTATGGAGCCAAAAGACAATAGTAATGTCTTTAAAATTCTGAAAGAAAGTATCTGCCAACCTAGATGTCTATATCTGAGAAATATCCTTGAATAGTGAATGTTAAATAAAAGAGGTTTCAGATAAACAAATGCTAAAAGAGTTTATTATAAGTAGACCCACACTACAGAGGTGTTCAGGCAGAAGGCAAATAATCCCAGAGAAAAGCGTGAAAACTCATGAAGGAATAAAGAACCATGGAGAGGGTAAAAGTGGATAAATCTAAACAAATATTGACTGTATAGAACAATGACAACAATGTCTTGTGAGGCTAAAAATACATATAAAATTAAATATACAACCCCAATAGCAGAAAAATCAGGAAAGAGGTAAATGAAATTAAAGCATTGTAAGGTCCTTGGATTGGATGGGAAATAGAGAACTAATTTAGGATAGACTTTTATTATATCAAGAATGTACATTGTAATAATTACTATAAGCAGAAGAATGGGTAATAAATTATGGTATATTTATATAAGCACAATCACAATGAGTAGAATACTGCTACACACACCAACAAGGATGACACTAAGCTAGGTACTATGGCTCAAACCTGTAATCTCAGAACTTTGGGAGGCCAGTCTGGGCAGGTCACTTAAGCCCAGAAGTTTGAGACCAGCCTGGGAAACATGGTGAAACCGTCTCCAAAAAAAAAAATTAGCTGGACATGGTGGCATGTACCTGTAATCCCAGCTATTTTGGAGGCTGAGGCAGGAGGATGGATTAAGCCCACAAGGTCAAGCCTGCAGTGAGCTGTGAGTATGCCACTACACTCCAGCCTGGGTGAAACAGCAGACCCTGTCTCAAACACACACACACACACACACACACACACACACACACGCACAAAGGATGACACTCGTGAACATAAATTTGAAAGGAAAAAAATCCAGACACACAAGAATACCTACTGTATGATTCATTTATGTAAAGTATTCTAATGGAAAAACTAATCTACACTTATAAAAGCCAGAAAAATAGTTAACCGTAGGGGAAGAGTGTTTGGGAGGAAAGAGAAGGGAGACTTCTGAGTGATAGTAATATTCTATTTCTTGATGTAGATGGGAGGCAGATATATAGGTGGATTCATTTCACAAACTTTATTAGTTCTATGCTTTTATGTATAGAAACTGTATGTGAAACTTCAATTAAAAGTTTACTTTCAGGCCGGGCGCGGTGGCTTAAGCCTGTAATCCCAGCACTTTGGGAGGCCGAGGCGGGTGGATCACAAGGTCAAGAGATTGAGACCATCCTGGTCAACATGGTGAAACCCCGTCTCTACTAAAAATACAAAAAATTAGCTGGGCATGGTGGCGTGTGCCTGTAATCCCAGCTACTCAGGAGGCTGAGGCAGGAGAATTGCCTGAACCCAGGAGGCGGAGGTTGCAGTGAGCCGAGATTGCGCCATTGCACTCCAGCCTGGGTAACAAGAGCGAAACTCCGTCTCAAAAAAAAAAAAAAAAGTTTACTTTCAACATTTCAGTCCAGGTGCAGTGGCTCATGCCTGTATTCCTAGCACTTTGGGAAGCTGAGGCAGGAGGATTGTTGAGGCCTGGAGTTTAAGACCCGCCTAGGCAACATAATGAGAACTCATTTCTAAAAAAAAAAAAAAAAAAAAAAAAAAAATTTTTAAATACATTAGCTAGGCATGGTGGCACACACCTGTAGTCCTAGCTACTCTGGCTAACGCAGGAGGATTGCTCCAGTCTGAGTTCAAAGTTACAGTGAGCCATGATCACACCACTGCATTCCACCCTGGGGAACAAAGAAAGACCCTGTCTCTTAAAAAAAAAAAAAAAATTATGTTGTGGCTCATGCCTGTAATCCTACCACTTTGGGAGGCTGAGGTGGGCGGATCACCTGAGGTCAGGAGTTCAAGACCAGCCTGGCCATCATAGTGAAACCCCATCTTTAAAAAAATAATAATTATGTTGGTTATGCAGTGAGCAGAGTAAAACAATCCTGGCTCCACCATGTACTACCCAGGTCACTATAGGCAAAGACTTTTGCTCTCATAGGTAAGGGATGAGTTACTGCTGTGAAACAGAGATAATATTTGCCTCACAGAGCTGCCAGAACTAGCAAATGAGATAATCTATTATACATTCAATAAGCTATGTTTATTTCATCATCAATACAAAAGGGTATGTACTTTTTTTTCTTTTTTTTTTGAGACAGAGTTTCATTCTTGTTACCCAGGCTGGAGTGCAATGGCGTGATCTCAGATCGCTGCAACCTCCGCCTCCTGGGTTCAAGTGATTCTCCTGCCTCAGCCTCCCAAGTAGCTGGGATTACAGGCACACGCCACCATGCCCAGCTAATTTTGTATTTTTAGTAGAGATGGAGTTTCTCCATGTTGGTCAGGCAGGTCTTGAACTCCCGACCTCAGGTGATCCACCCGCCTCTGCCTCCCAAAGTGCTAGGATTACAAGTGTGAGCCACCACGTCTGGCCAAGGGTATGTACTTTTATCATCCTTATTTTATAGATAAGGCAGCTGAGAGACAAGAGTTTAAGTAAGTTGTCCAGGGTTGCTTAGCTGATAAATAGCAAACACTAGAATTTAAACTCACATAGTGTGGTTTTAGAATCTTTTCTCTTGCCCACTATGTGAATGCCATAAAGGTGTAGAATTTGTTGTTATTGTTGTTGTTCACTGATAATTTCATATGCCTAGATCTGACAAATCATATGACTTCATTACAGTAAATGGTAACTTTCACTAAACTAAAATAAAAAAAACAATAAAATGACTACTTGGCAGTAGTTTAACTGTTCTAAGAAAGGTGTTCTGATGTTTTGCTATAAAATAGTGCCACCATTCATAATTTTAAATCTGCAGAAGTGAATTATTTGACTTTCTTGGGCGCTCATTAAGCATTCCTGACACCTGGTCGTAACATATATAAATTGCAAGGGGAGATATTTTTATGAGGTATGTCCCCTTTGAGACCTGAATTGGTACAAGACCTCTTGGACCTGAATTGGTACAAGACCTCTCTCTTAAGTAATGGCTATGAAGGAGAGAGAGCTCCTCTTGTAGCTGAATTTTATGTTTATTAAGAATTTAGATAAAAGAGACTTTGTAATGATGATTTTGAATTTTATGTTTATTAAGAATTTTATGTTTATTAAGAACTTAGACAAAAGAGACTTTGTAATGAAGAAGATTTTGAAAAGATTTTTCCAAACAGCCTTATAAGGAAAAATCAATAGCCTATTACTAATCTCACGTTGACATAGGCCACGGAGGTGTACATGCATACAGCCCAGAAGAAATCAGTCATATAGTCCCTAACTATGCTGATTCCCTTTCCCTTCTCTGTAAAGTCACTGTTGACTTAGATTAGTAAACGGATTCATACAGAGGAAATAAAGCAGTTCATAATAATAATGATAAACAGTTACCGTTCATTATGCTAAGGGCTTTGGATGTATTGTTTCATCTAATCCTCTCAACAACTCTATCGATCCACTTATTTTAAAAAATATTTATTTCTGGAGTTGACGTAAGAAAGAAAAAAAAATATTATGTGTCACACACTCTTGTAGGTGCTAGGAATATAGCAATAAACAAATAAGATGAAAATCCCTGGCCTCATAGAAAATAACTTATAGTAGTAGAGGCAGATGACAAACACATAAATTAGTCAACCGTATTGTGTGTTAGATTGTTTTCAGTTCTGTTGAGAAGAATGAAAGCAGGGAGAAGGAATAGGGAGTGTTGGGGAGAATTACAATTTTAAATAGAGTGATAGAGAGACTCTAGCTGAGAAAATGATGTCTGAAGAGATAAGGAGTTGCTATGAAGACATTTGAAGGAAGAGCATTTTAGCAGAGGGAAAAGCAAGTCAAAACCCCCTATGAAGGAGCATGATTTGTAGGCTTGAAGAATAGCAATAAAGAGGCCTATGACTGGAGTAACATGGGCAGAAAGAGGGGTTGAAAGTAAATGTCAGAGAGATAATCAGAAGCCAGATGACAGAGACTTGTAAGTCATGTGATGGTCTCTGGCTTTTACTTTGAGCAAGACAGGGAGCCACTTGAAGGTGTTAGCAGAGGCAGCAACACAATTTGACTTATATTTTAATAAAAACACAATGGCTGCTGTATTAAAAAAGATCAAAGGGAAGTGGCGTGGCAGAAGCAGAGAGAGCAGTTCGGTTACCACGACAATCCGAGAGAAATGATAGTGGTTTGCACAGATTGTAGCACTGGGGGTCTTAAGAAGTGCTCAAATGGTTGCCATGAGCCTAGATCATGCCGCTGCACTCCAGCCTGGTGACAGAGCGAGACTCTGTCTCAAAAAGAAAAAAAAAAAAAAGGCCACGCACAGTGGCTCATGCCTGTAATCCTAACACTTTGAGAGGCCAAGGTGAGAGGATCACCTGAGGTCAGGAGTTTGAGCCCAGCCTGGTCAACATGGTGAAACCCCTTCTCTACTAAAAAACAACTACAACAACAACAAAAACCAAAATTAGCCAGGCATGGTGGCACATGACTGAATCCAAGCTACTCCAGAGGCTGAGGCAGGAGAATCACTTGAACCTGGGAGGTAGAGGTTGTAGTAAACCAAGATCGTACCACTGCACTCCAGCCTGGGCAATTAAAAAGCCAAACTCTATCTAGAAAAAGTGCTATGATTTTGGATATAATTTGAAGCAGAACCAACAGGCTCTCCTGAAGTATTTGGATGTGGGGTGTGGGAGAGGTATAAAAAATGATACGAAGATGTGAAGGAACAATGAGATGATCATTTGCAAGATGAAGACTGCGAAAGAAGCAAGTTTTTGTTGAAGTAGATGTTGGCAAGATTAGGAGCTTGTTTTTAGACCTGTTAAGTCTGAGATGCCTTTGGTTATCTAAGTGGAGAAGCTTAGGAGGCAGTTGAATGTAAATGTCTGGAATTCAGGGGATTTGTTTAGATTAGAGGTAAGTTTAGGAATAATAGGCATGCTGATGGTATTCAAAGTCATAAAACTGATGACATCTCAAAGAAAGTGTATGGCCAGGCCTGGCAGCTCACGCCTGTAATTCCAGCTCTTTGGGAGGTTGAGGTGGGTGGATCACCTGAGGTCAGGAGTTCAAGACTAGCCTGGCCAACACAGTGAAACCCCATCTCTAAAACAAAACAAAACAAAAACAAACAAATCAAAGAAAGTGTATGTAAATAAAAAGTGAGAAAAGATTCAAGGACTGAGCAGTGAGGCACCCAATATTAAGAGGTTAAAAAGATGAGGAAAAACTAGCAACAGAGACCAGTGAGAGGTGCATAAGGTAAGAGAAAAGTCAAGAGTGTAGTTTCTTGGAAAAAAAAGTGAAGAAAGCACATTCACGTGGAGGAGGAAAGAGTGATTAACCTTATCAGAAGCCACAGATGAGTCAGATAAGAGCTGATGAGTGACTGCTGGATTTAGAAAGGTGGAGTCTTTGGTGACAGTGACATGGTATTTCAGTGGTGTGGAGGTGCAAACAGCCTGAGCGGTGCCACAAATGGAACTAGGGCTCCTTGGAGAAATGATCAATTCCAGATTTGAGGGAGGAAATGTACAAAATGGCACAGCTTGCTGTGCCAAAAAGCAAGGAAGCTATCAAATACTAATGAGGACTTTGTAAAAGAGCACACATACATGCAACAACTTTAAGGGGCCCCTGAAGTTGGCACACTTGGGCAGTGAAACCATTATATGTAATCTTTGGAAACATTAAATACATAAACCTCTAAGAAATAATAAGTATTATATACCTACAAAAAGCACTTAATTGTCACTTCTGGTGACTGTTAGGACACCAATTTATTATTCTAAAAATTGGTAAATAGTAGCAAAAAAAACCAAGCATTTGTCCCATCTTTCCTGAAATGAGTTTCAGGGTAATCAAATAGTTAATATAGTTCTTGAATCTTATTATTCTACATAGAAGAATTCCAACTAATAAATGCAAAGGGAATGATGAAAGTAGAAAATCACCATTTTACAATATTTAATGAAACATCCAAGCAACAATCATCAGTGGATGTTGAAACCATTAGGACAAATAACAATAGGGAGCTTTATAAGCAATGTACCAGCTAACACCTCTGAAATCACTGATTAATCTTAACATTATTAAAAGTGTGACAATGAAACATTACAGTATATACCTCCAAATGTGATGCAGTAGGACATACTTAGTGTACTTAGAATACTATGTGAAGTATTCTTGCAAATATAAACAAACAAACAAATAAAACTTAAATTGGATCAAGTCTTTAGGTCAGGGGTGGGCAAACTTTCTGTAAAAGGCCGGATAGTAAATACTTCGGGCTTTGTGGGCTACGTGCAATCTTTATCAAATATTCTCCCCTGTTCTTCTTGTGTTTTAAATTTGTTTTAACAACTCTTAAAAAAAATCCCCAATGGAACAGAATAGAAAGCCCAGAAATAAATCCACCTTTTTATGGTCAATTGATCTTTGATGAAGGTACCAAAAACATACAGTGGGAAAGGGACAGTCTCTTCCATAAATGATGCTGGGAAAACTGGATATTCACATACAGAAGAAGCAAATTGGATGCTTATCTCATCCCATATGCGAAAATCAACTCAAAATCGATTAAAGACTAAAATTTAAGACCTGAAACTGTAAACTACTAGAAGAAAACATAGCGAAAGCTTTTTGACACTGATATTTACAAAGATTTTAAAAATATAGCTCCAAAAGCACAGGCAACAAAAGGATGGGTAGACAAATTGAACTGCAGGAAACTAACAAGGTGCGTAAAACAGGAAACAAGTAACAAAGTGAAGAGACAACCAAAGGAGTAGAAGAAAATATTTGCAAACCATACATCTGATAAGGGGCTAACAGCCATAATATATAAGGAACTCAATTCAATTGCAAGAAAACAACCAGATTTCAATATGGGCATAGTACTTCAGCAGACACATAGCAAAAGAATACACACAAACAGTCTACATATATATGAAAAATGTTCAACATTTCTAATCATCAGGGACATGCAAATTAATTAAACACCACCTCACACCTGTTAGAAGAGCTACTGTCAAAAAGATGAAAGACAAGTTTGGAGAGGATACAGAGAAAAGGAACTCATATATTGCTGGTGGGAATGTAAATTAATACAGTCATTATGGAAAATGGTATGAAGATTCCTCTTCAAAAAATTGAAAACAGAACTATCACATGATTTGGCAATTCTGCTTCTAAGTATATATCCAAAGAAAATGAAAACAGTATGTGAAAAACATATCTGTACTCCCCTGTTCAATGAAGCATTATTTACAATAGCCAAGATGTGAAATAAATCTAAATGTCCATTAACAGATTAATGGATAAAGAAAATGCACATGCACACAATGGAATACTATTCAGCTCTTTAAAAGAAGGAAATCCTGTCATTTGTGACAACATGAATAAACTTGGAAAATATTATGCTACGTGAAATAAGTGAGGCACAGAAAGACAAATACTGCCGGGCGCGGTGGCTCAAGCCTGTAATCCCAGTACTTTGGGAGGCCGAGGTGGGTGGATCACGAGGTCAAGAGATTGAGACCATCCTGGTCAACATGGTGAAACCCCGTCTCTACTAAAAATACAAAACATTAGCGGGGCATGGTGGCGTGTGCCTGTAATCCCAGCTACTCAGGAGGCTGAGGCAGGAGAATTGCCTGAACCCAGGAGGCGGAAGTTGTGGTGAGCCGAGATCGCGCCATTGCACTCCAGCCTGGGTAACAAGAGTGAAACTCCGTCTCAAAAAAAAAAAAAAGAAAGACAAATATTGCAGGATCTTATTTGTGGACTCTAAAAACAGTCAAACTGAGAAGCACAGAGTAGAACGGTGGTTATCTGCGGCTGGCCATGAGGAATGGGAGATGTTAACAAAAGGGTACAAAGTTTCAGTTAGACACAAATAAGTTCTGGTGATCTATTGTACAAATGATGACTGTAGCTAATAATAATGTATTATGTACTCCAAAATTACAAAGAGAGGCTGGGTGTAGTGGCTCACACCTGTAATCCCAGCACTTTGGGAGGTCAAGGCGGGCAGATTACTTGAGGTCAGGAGCTTGAGACCAGCCTGGCTAACATGGTGAAACCCCATGTCCACTAACAATACAAACATTAGCTGGGAATGGTGCCATGAGCCTGTAATTCCAGCTACTTGGGAGGCTGAGGCAGGAGAACTGCTTGAACTGGGAGGCAGAGGTTGCAGTGAGCCAAGGTCATGCCACTGCACTCCAACCTGGGTGACAGAGTGAAACTCTGTCTCACAAAAAAGGAGAGGGGACATTATGGATTAAAGGAAAATTAAAAGACATAGCAACCAATGTAACACATGAATGCATATTTTAATTATGACTTAGGTCAATGGGAAAAGACATATTTTTAAAGATAGAAATATTTCAACAGGCACAGGGTATTATTTTTTGAGAGTTTCTCTAAGATTGATATTATTTCCATTTTATTTTTATTTTTTTATTTTTTGAGACGGAGTCTCGCTCTGTCCTTCAGGCTGGAGTACAGTGGCATGCTCTCAGCTCACCACAACCTCTGCCTCCCCGGTTCAAGCAATTCTCTTGCCTCAGCCTCCCAAGTAGCTGGGATTACAGGTGTACACCACCACGCCTGGCTAATTTTTGTATTTTTAAGTAGAGACGGGGTTTCACCATGCTGGTCAGGCTGGTTTTGAACCCCTGACCTTGTGATCTGCCCACCTCAGCCTCCCAAAGTGCTGGGATTACAGGCATGAGCCACCGCACCCAGCCTATTATTTCCTTTTTAAGTGTTTGAATATAATTCAGTTGTGTAGCCATGTGGGCCTAGAGCTTTCTTCATGAGAAGGTTCAATTAAACTTAGTTACTTAACTATTTTAGAGACAAGATGTTGCTATGTTCCCCATGCTGGTCTTGAACTCCTGGGCTCAAGCAATCCTCCCTCCTTAGCCTTCCACAGTTCTGAGATATAGGCATGGGCCACTGCACTCGGACCATGAGATGGTTTTAAATTATGGATTTAACTGTTTAAAAAATATGATGTTGTGGCTGGGCGCGGTGGCTCAAGCCTGTAATCCCAGCACTTTGGGAGGCCGAGGCGGGTGGATCATGAGGTCAAGAGATCGAGCCCATCCCGGTCAACATGGTGAAACCCCGTCTCTACTAAAAATACAAAAAAAAAAAAAAAAAAAATTAGCTGGGCATGGCGGTGTGTGCCTGTAATCCCAGCTACTCAGTAGGCTGGGGCAGGAGAATTGCCTGAACCCAGGAGGCGGAGGTTGCGGTGAGCCGAGATCGCGCCATTGCACTCCAGCCTGGGTAACATGAATGAAACTCTGTCTCAAAAAAAAAAAAAAAATATGTTGTATAGATTTTCTATTTCTTTTTCTGTAAGTTTTTGTAAGTTGTATGCTTTGAGAAATTTTTCTATTCATCTAAGCTGCTAAATTTCTTGGGATAAAGTTGTTCATATTTTTCTTTCAGTGTCTGTAGGATCTGTAATGATGTCCTTTATTTAATTCCTAATATTAGTTGATATTAAGGAATTATTTTTTAATAAAGACGGGGTTTCACCATGTTGGTCAGGCTGGTCTTGAACTCCTGACCTCAGGTGATCTGCCCGCCTTGGCCTCCAAAGTGCTTGGATTATAGGCATGAGCCACCACGCCTGGCCAAAGTTTCAGATTTATCTAGTGAGAAGTTAGGCTGTGTTTTCTGTTTGTTGTAGCTGTGGGAAAAAGAGAGAAAAATTTCCTCTGTGTCCTTATTTTTGCCTCACCGGTTATCTTTGAGTTTCCCTAGAGACTTCTTGGGTGGTCTCAGAAATAACATACGGCTCTTTCTGTTGTACTCCCTTATTATCGTACAGAAGTCCTGTTGATATAGTGGTAAGGTGTGGAGAGAGGCGAAGAATTCTCTAGGCCTGTGATTAGGTCTTAGACTTCTAGTGAGTCGGTGCTCCTGGGCTGTGCCTTTCATGAATGCTTCTCAGGTTTTTCCTGCTTTAGCTGGCAAGACGGGGCTGAAGTTGGTATTCCTTCCCCTATGATTAGCCTCTGGTAAAACCCAGTCAGTTAGGCTCTGGTAACATAGCTTCCCTTGAGAGCAGGCTTTGTTAAGAAGAACTAGATATTCTGGCATATTTTGCAATGGCTGTTTTCCCCCTCCTCTTGCCAGAAGCATGAGGATATTTTTTTTTGCTTATCTTCACCCTGAGAACCTGGTAGGGTTCCTGGAGGTAAAACTCAAGAAAGTGGAGGTAAAATCCATTAAGACTGGCTACCAGCCCTGGAGTATTTGAACTTTCAAACTTGTCCACACTGAGCCTCCAGCAACTCATCTCTTACAGTTTAGGTTTTTTGTTACCCAGTACTTGTACTTGAGAAGTTTTCTGCCCCTGGGCTTCTATTCCAGTAAGTTGTGATTCTCTGTCTTTACCCGTTTGTCTCTCCAATTTGGGGAAGAGAAGTGTGCCCTGTTATTTCAACTTTTTTTCAGTTTATTTTGTTTTTTATTGTTGTGAAGACAGGAGTGATGACTTCTAAGCTCCTTATATGCTACACCCGAAACCAGAAGGGAAAGATCTAGAAGAGAAGAAAACTTGATGCAGGAAAGAAAGAAGAAAATTCCTGGTGTGATGAGTTTGAATAGGTGAAAGGGATTATGATCTAGTGTTCAAGTGGAGAGCTAGCCTTAGCTGATAACATCATGAGCATTTTATATAGGTTAGCACAGAGAAGGCAGAGGACATAGGCACACACGTAGGCTGATGAGT